ACTTCATATGCTATTACAAACACAAAAGATTTTCTGTTGTTTTATTCTTCTCAATTTTATTTATTTCTCCTTTAGTCTTTATTATGTCCCTCCTACTTTCTTTGGTCCTCATTTGTTCTTCCTTTTCTAGTTGCATTAACTGTGTGTTTAGATTGTTTATTTGTGAGGTACAGAAAAATATTCAAAGATTCTTTTTTTCCTCCTTTTTCTTCCTCCTCCATTCTTTGTATGTTATGAATCATATTCTGTCTCTTTGTGTATCCTCTGGGTGACATCTATTTAGCCTTAGGAATACTTCCATCTATAGGAGTCCCTCCAAAATGCTCTGTAGAGGTGGTTTGTGGAGGTAAATTCTCTCAGCTTTTGCTTATCTGAAAATTGTTTAATCCCTCCCTCATATTTAAATGATAACCTTGCCAGGTAGAGTATTCTTGGTTCAAGGCCCTTCTTCTTCATTGCATTAAATATATCATGCCACTCCCTACTGGCCTGTAAGGTTTCTGTGGAGAATTCTGATGATAGCCTGATGGGTTTTCCTTTGTGGGTGATCTTTTTTCTCTCTCTAGCTGCTTTTAAAAGGCTGTCTTTATCCTTGATCTTTGCCATTTTAATTACTACGTGTCTTGATGTCTTCCTTGGGTTCCTTTTGTTGGGAGATCTGTGCACCTTCATGGCCTGAGAGACTATTTTCTTCCCCAGATTGGGGAAGTTTTCAGCAATTACCTCCTCAATGACACTTTCTATCCCTTTTTCTCTCTTTTCTTCTTCTGGTACCCATATAATGCGAATATTGTTCTGTTTGGATTGTTCACACAGTTCTCTCAATATTCTTTCATTCTTAGAGATTCTTTTTTTCTCTCTGTGCCTCACCTTCTTTGTATTCCTCTTCTCTTATTTCTATTCCATTTAATATCTCTTCTACTACATCTAATCTGCTTTTAAATTCCTCCATTGAATGTTTCATTTCAGATATGGAATTTCTCAATGATTGAATTTCTGTCTTAAATTCATTCCTGAGTTCTTGAAAATTTTTCTGTACCTCCATAAGAATGTTTATGATTTTTATTTTGAAGTCTCTTTGAGGAAGATTGGTGAGTTCAGTTTCATTTGGCCCTCTTTCTGGGGTTTGTAAGATTTTGGTCTAAACTATGTTCTTTTGTCATTTCATGTTTCTGTGTGGTGCCCTCTAGTGCCCAGAAGCTCCAGTCTCTGGAACTGCTTAGCCCCTAAAGTGAGGTTGGGGGTCGTAGGGGAGCGGAGCTGTTGCCTGGTGGGAGGAAAATCTTTTTCCTGATTCCCATCTGTGGTGCCTGTCTCCAGTATCAGAGGCAGTGGGCCAAGCACACAGGTGTAAGCCTCTGTGTTTTGTGTCTATAGCTGTGTAGGCAGGGCCTCCCTCTGACTGGCCTGACACCAGTGCCGTGACTGCTGGTTTGCGAGCTGGTGCCATCAGGCTAGGAGGGAGGCTTGGCAGCCTGGGGTCCCCAGAGCTGAGTAGCCCGCCAGGGGGATGGAGCACCTGAAGCTCCTCAAAGTTCCCAATCTGCTGGGCAGAGCGCGCCCAGACAGCCTTGTCCCCCTATCTCTTCACCTGCGAAAACCCCGGCCCTTCAGCAGTCCTCTCGCTGCTAGGAAGCCTCTCAGACCACCTGCCTTTCCCTTGTCCCATAGCGGCTGGGTGTGGATCCCATCTTCCACAGATGGCCGAAATCTGTCTCTCAAGCACTCTGCCTGTCCCAGCTCCCCATCCTCCAGAGCACCACACAATGTAGGTTTCTGCTCGCAAAGCACATCTCCAGGGCCAGGTGTTCAGCAGTCCCAGGCTTCCACCCACTCCCCGCTCTGTTTCTCTTCCTCCCGCTGGTGAGCTGGGGTGGGGGAAGGGCTTGGGTCCTGCCAGATCAAGACTTCGGTATCTTACCGTGTTTTGTGAGGTCTGCTCTGTTCGTGAGGTCTGTATGCAGTCTGGTTCAGCCTTATTTCCTGTTGCTGTTTTAGGGTTAGTTGTATTAACTATATTTTCACACTATGTGTGGTTTTGGGAGGAGTTCTCAGTCTCACCTCTCATGCCGCCATCTTGAATCTACTTCTGTTCTATTTTTGTACAAAATTTTTTGTTGTTTCATTTTTTTTTTTAGTGATACCTATGTTGTAATAACTTATGTAGGCAGCACCCTCTAATGTCAAGAAGCTCTACTCTCTGTAGCTTCTTTGCACCTGGAGCAATGGCAGGGGTTGCAGGTGAGCGGCACTGGCACCTGCTAGGAGGAAACCAGCTCTTTCCTGCTTCCCTGCTGTAGCGCCTGCCTCCACTGCCAGGTCCAGTGGGCTGAGCGGGTGGGGAGGAGCCTCCTACACCCCTGTAGGTGCCATAGGTGGGGTCGTCCTTTGGCTGGCCTGGCGCAATGACTGGGGCAGCAGGTGTGCAGACTGGTGCTTGCCAGGAGGAAGGAGTGGCAGGCTGCATAAAGCAGTCGGGGCCCTAGGGGCTGCGTTGCCAGCCAGGGGGATGTATCTTGTGAAGCTCCTGAGAGTTCCCAACCTGCTGGTTGAGCATGCTGGGAAGGTTTTGTCCACCTGCCCTGTCTTCTGAGCAGCAAGCTCCGTCTAATCTTTGCCACTTTAGCACCCCTCTTGCTATTGGTAAGTGCCTGACTTTCTTTTGTTCTGGAGGGGCTGGTTGTGCGTACCTGTTCTTCAAAAGCAACTGGAATTTCATTCTGTCCGAATATTCTGTCTGTCTTTGCTTTCCAGTCCCACTAATCTTCAGAGTACCATATAATGTGGGGTCCTGCTCCTGGAGCATATCTCCATGGTTGGGTGTTTAGCAGTCCTGGGCTTCTACTCTTTCCCCACTCCGTTTCTCTTTCTCTTGCCTGTGAACTGGGGTGGGGGGATGGCTTGGGTCCTCCTGGCTCATGGCTTTGCTACTTTACCCTTTTCTGTGAGGTCTTCTTTTTTCTCCAGATGTAGGCAGTCTGTACTGCAGTCTTTGTGTCGCTCTTTCAGGATTAGGTTTATTTGCTGTATTTTCATGTTATTTGTCATTTTGGGAGGAGTTTTCTGCCTCACTTCTCATGCTGCCATCTTTTTCCTGTCCAGCTGTGTGCCCTTTTCAAATTAAGTTCTATAAACTCCAGCGGAGGAAATTCAAATTCATCTTCAGGGTGGGAAGTGATCTTCCATCTATCCTATTTGTAGTACCTGATTGGTTTTTCTAATCAGTTCTATGTATCAGTTACATAGATGTTTGATTTTTAACAGTAAAGTCTCTGCAGCCCTGCTGTGTAAGCTTCTCTGAAACCCTCAAGGCCTTTTAGAATTGAAGTGCTTTCTATTTTATTTTCGCTCCTTTTTTCCCTCTCATAACCAGGCTTGGTTTAGAAAAAAAGCCATTTGTCTGCATTGGTTTCTGTCTTTACATTTTTTAGTTTTTATTTTAAGGTTCTTGGCAGGTGGGAAGTTTAGAGGGGCCAAAGTGAAATGATTTCTCGACTCAAGGGCCAATATTTAATCTTTGTGTTTACTTCTGCTGTGGACCCTGTGTCATAGTCCCAGTGCACAGAGCCCACTGGGTTCAGACTTTGCCCTGCTGCACAGGGAGTGGATATTGTTTCAGGTTCATTATAAAAAACTCATTCGCCTCTTGCTTCTACATGGCCACCTAAGGCGAAGATGAGGTCTGAATGAGACCCAAACTAGAATTTCTGTCAGTGTATCAAATTACCTGCCTGTTAATTACATATGTGAATTGTATTAATTTCCAGTGTACAAAAGCTACAAGGAAATGTGTATCTTTTTACTCATAGGGATTAGCTTTGCTTTCTTCTTTTCCAAGGCCTTTGTGGTCCTGGGCAGGGCCGTCAGTCACCCCATATTTAATTTCTTTTATTTGAATAACAGGAATGGTAGTATTTTCAACATACCCAAAAGATAGATGAAAATTGTGTCATAAGGGCTGTGCGATACTTTACAAATTGGACTGATGCTATAGTTTTCTTTTCTGATCTTTTCTTATACTTTCTTTTAGGCTAATGATGCATATCTTCAGATGGCAATTGGAAATGCCCCTTGGCCCATTGGTGTCACTATGGTTGGTATCCATGCCAGAACTGGTAGGGAAAAGATTTTTTCCAAGCATGTTGCACATGTTTTGAATGATGAAACACAGCGGAAATATATTCAGGTAAGCAGTTGGGAGGGAAAGAAATTGCTCTGTTAGGTTAACTTTCTCCAATCCCCAAACTGTATATTTTGAGAGCTGGAGAATTATAGGAAACAGGGCAGAGCTTCATAGGATGCAAGTCTACTCTTTATTAATATTTGTATTTAAGATACCATCATTGAATAAGATAAGAAGCTTTTAGGTTTCATATATGATGCAAGACAGGGAGAAGCATTGTGCTTTAATTACCTTAGTACTGAAATAAAACTATTGTGGTTTGTTTTAGGAGTTCACTGTAGCATGACAAATTTAGAGTACTTTGCAGTAAATCCCATTTTGTTGCTTTCAAGGTAGATTTAACATCTGTTTAGCTGAAAAGGTATGAATAGTCAAAATTTGGCTTTAATGAATCTAGTTATCTTTAGTATACAACACTTCTCTTTACAAATAGGTCTAAAGCACTTACAGTTTATTTTCTTAAAGTTATATGTGCCTCACATAAACTTGTTTGTACTCTTGTTGGGTTAAACTTTTCCTCTTGGTGGAAGAAAAGTCAACTGTAATCTAGCTTTTGCCAAATTTCAAAAATCTCAGGTTGTCTTTGTATAATGGCTTTTGCCGAATGTTAATTCTAAAGCTTTAGATGATATTCTGGGAGTTTACCTATAATGTAAAATTCACAACGTACTGTCAGATTTTATGCCAGAGAACAACCATTATATATTCATTAATTATCTTTTTATTTGTAGTTCAGTAAAGGTTACTTTGTCAGTCTTTATGCCTTATTCATGTATATTAGCATTTTAAAATATGATTTCAACCTGACCCCTAATATGAACGTAGAATTTATAGAGTTCAAATAAACTTGAGGAAATTGAAAGACATTGCCATTTATTTAATAACCACTACTGACTGACTGTTTTGAAAGCAAAAGGCTTTCATTTTGAAAAAAAAGTTGTTTAGCTTTAATAGTAGAAAATAGTTTTCCAGTGGTTACATTTGCTCATTGGTTCAGCTGTGCCATGGTCAAAGCCATAGTGTGTATAAAAGTTCATATAATTATATAAATGTAAAGACAGCATTTCTTTTTTGAACAATGACATGATTTCCACCTCCTCAAAAACTGATTTTCTTGTAAAAAATATACCTAGTATTTATTTTTAAAGATTTCTGATTTATTTTGGGTGCTATGTAATGACCTGTTGTTCTTCCTTTTTAACTGTTCCCTTCCCATTTAAAATAACTATTTTCCCAAGGTGATTAGGGAAAATTGGTGAACTTACTAAATCTGAACTTTTGGAAGGTGTTTGATCTAAATCCAGTAATATTCTTGGGAACAGCTATAAGTATAGTAAGTCAGGTGGACTCATAGCTTGTTGAGTGAAGGAAGCGATGGAGTACATTGAATAATGGATCCATGTCTATTTGGCTGAATGCTAGTGACATGTCCTGGGGTCCTTAGTGAACCTAGTGACCTCAGCACTGTCCAGAGAGGTCTGTTGATCAGATTTACAGACAACAAGAAATGGAAGGGATGGAGGTGTGTGTCAAGGTGGAAAAGAATTTCTTAGCAGACCGAAGAAAAGGGCAGATGCTAAAAATATGTTTGCTAGGATGACCTTCAAGAAATGATCTAATAACCCAGGTGCTTGAGCCTGCAGTCTGAGCAATGCATCTGGAAAAGTATTAGGAAGCTGAGTGGAACTTTAAGTGCGATAAAATTAGTGGTATGATGTAGCCACAGGAAAGTGTAACTATAGCTTGTGATGCATTATTAGACATACTGCTTTAGTGTAGGCTTCACAAGGTAAGAACCTTGGTGCGGCTTAACACAACAACAGTAAATAAATGCTTTAGATCTGTTTGTGAAGGTAAGTATTTTTCTTTCTCATGTTGTATCTCTAGAGCCTAGAGTGGTACCTGACTCTGGTAAGCTGTCAGTAAATATTTGCTGATTGAATGAATGCTCTAGACAAGGGATGTGAAGTCTTGCTCTTTTTCTAGTCCTTGAGAAAGGAGACTGTGGTGGGGATCCAAGCAAAAGAGCTGTAGTAATAGAAGAGCTTTCCGGGTGAGGACGGATGAGACTTGTCCTATCTGGTTAAGGGCCAGTTAAGGTGTAGGAGAGAATCACATTTCTAATCAATGTAAGGAAAATAATTTTTCTTTTCTTAGAATATTTTATTTGAAATGAAGACATATAAGAGGTTGCAAAAATAGTACAAAGAAGCTTTTTAACAGGCAGAATAAGGTAAAAGTTGGGCCACTTTAGAAGTAAAGGGGGAGATCCCTACCCTTTGATATGTATAAGAATGAAGTTGCCTTTTCTGGTCCTTAGGCTTCTCAGGTTCTTTTCTGCCATTTTTTCCCTAGAGGCCATTGCTTCAGCCTAAGGTTGCAGACTCAAGTCCATGACAGTCTGGTAACATGTGAGCTGAGTGTTAGGAAACACCTGGCCCTCTGTCTGTCTTATTTGCCTACTTTTCATACAGGCACAACTGGAAGCAGTATTTCCTTTCACCTCAGCTCTGCAGTAAGAACTGTGTTGGCAGTGCGAACACTGTGTCGAAGTGCCAGCTGATGCTGGGCTTCTTACTGCTGCTGCACATCATTGCAGGACCATGGTTCCAGTGTGGCACATACATCATTTTTTTTTTTTTTAAGGAGATGCCAACAATCTTAACTTTTTTAAAAGGAAAAGTATATGCTCCTATTTCAAAAATATTGGCACCAATTAAAAACATTGTGTAAAGGCCAAACAAAATGCCAGTTTTTGATTTGCGTCTTAAACCCCTCATGGGTGCTAATAAGCTCAAAGCCACCCCTGTCTTGCGAGTTTTATGAAATTCTTGATTTAGTTAACTGAGCAATTTACTAAGCTGTCTTGACTATCCCTCCTATTACTTGATTTTTAGGTGAGGTTGGTTTAAATTATCTTAAGAAGGGAATATTTAAATATATTATGCGAAGTTTTAAGTCAGGGTTGATGGCCTTTTTTGTAAAGGATCAGGTAGTAAATATTTTTAGCTCTCTACTTACTGGTCTCTGTTGCACCTATTCAATCTTGCATTTGTAGTGCGAAAGCAGTCAGTGGCTATGTTCTAATAAAACTCCGTTTTTGAAAGAGGCTGCTGGCCTGTGGGCCATAGTTGGTTGACCCCTGGTAAATGTACAAACCTAAACCTTTCTACATTAAGATATTTGCTGAGGAAGTAATTGTGAAAGTCATTTAATAGGGTAATTCTTTTTAATTTGAAATAAAATTGAACCTCAGCAGTGTAGTGTTTTAAGTGTACTAATCCTGATTGTACAGCTAAACGATTACATGTAGTAATTCATGAGACATAAAACAAGATACCATTTCTAGCAATATCCCAAAAGTTTCTTTCATGCCTTTTCCCAGCTTAAATCTTCCTCCCTTCCAAAGTAACCACTATTCAGACTTGTGTCATTATTGGTTGATTTTGCCTGCTTTCAGACATCATTTAAATGCAGTCTTGCAATGTGTGGAATTATTGTTTCTTTTATTTAGAAATACTGATGAGAAATAGTGTTAGAAATACTGATGAGAAATGGTAGAAAACAGTGCAAGAGGCTATTTCACTGTAACATGATTTTGTCTTTGGGTTTTATACAGAACTATAGAATTTAAACTGTGAAAGTTGTTTGAAGTGTTCTTTATCACAAAAAAAATTAAACATATCACCAGGAGAGTTTTCTTACTATACAGATCAAAGAGAAGTTGTATAGCTTATTAGCTAGCCTCTAGGGTTAGGGGAGATTGGTGGTGTTAACTTGAAGGACTTGGTTCATTTTGCCAAATACAGATGTAACCTTTGGCTCAGTTTTGGGTAAAGCTTCTTCGAACAGATTATAGGAAGCTCTTGATTAGAGGCTTTATAATTCAGTCATTTTAAGACATCTCGTAAGATGTCTTAAAAGAGTGGATCTGGAGGGCAAATAGCCATTTGATGTCATGGCTATTTGCCCTCCAGTTCCATTCTCCACCTTTCTTTACCTTGTTCCCAGAACCTAGCTCCCTTGTCCTCTGGCTTCTGATGGGAGCAGGCAATGAGTGGGACTGGAAGGCATTTTATAAGTGGGAGAAGAACAAGTATGGGGTGTTTATTTCCCCGACTTCCTCCCTGTAGGGTCCCTTAGGGTTGACCGCACCCTTCTACCCAAGGCCATAGCTCTCTCAGGTGGCTTTTCCATACAGTTACTACTCTGGGTTTTTGTGACCTGTCTCCTCCCTTGTCCCTTTAGAACATAGGCTGGCCATGGCGTTTCAGTAGTGCTAGGAGACTGGACTTTGTCCTGCCCATGACTTTATGTAGAGTCCTCAGAATTACTGCTGTCAGGTTATCCAGTTTGAGTGTGCTCTTTGTGTCCTGCTGATAATCTTCCTGATGAATATAAATTAATCTGTGTGTTGTGTTACAACTCAGATTTCTTTGGGTATTAGAAGATTAAGGAATAATATTAATGGCAAATAAATTTTTTTAAGCTTTCACTATTAAAATAGGCAAAATGTCCCATAATATTCTTCTCTGCTAAGTTGTTTTCAGTAACTTTAAATTTGTAAATTCCCTGGTAAAGACATCATTCCAACATTTAATGTCAATTATTTCAATCTGTATTTCAGGTTTTGGCATATTTCATCTATATTAGCATTTGTCAATTGTATTTGTTCATGGAACATTTGTGAACTTATATTCATGTATTGCCAAAAATGGTATAACAGAAACATTCATTACTGCAGTGAGTGATCACAACTTGATCCATATGTTGAATACATAAATAACATCATGGTTAGTTGGCAGACACTCCCTGTGCATCAAGAATGTGTCATACATTTGTGGGTCTTGTGGTTTCATGCTGCCTCTTGGCATTCTTTGCTGTGATAAACCGTTCCTTAAAGGCAAGTTATTGCCTGATAGTAAACTGTCTACCCATTTAATACTTCTGCAATATTAAAACAAATATTTTGAGAAAAACATTGCTAGCAAATATCTTTCACA